GACAGAGCTTCAAGCTTTCCCCCTGGGTAGAGTGCCATAGCATCACAGCTCACAGCAACCTCCAACTCCTGGGCTCAAGCGAGTCTCTGCCTCAGCCTCCCAAGTAGCTGGGACCACAGGCGCCCACCACAACACCCGGCTATTTTTTGCTTGCAGCCATCGTTGTTTGGCAGACTGGGCTGGATTTGAACCTGCCACCTTAGGTGTATGTGGCTGGCGCCTTAGCCACTTGAGCCATAGGCGCAGAGCTGGCCCACTATTTTTTTGTTGCAGTTAGGCTGGGGCTGGGTTTGAACCTGCCACACTGGGTATATGGGGCCAGCAGCATATACCACAAGCACTGCCCCCAAACTGAAATTTCTTAAACGCAAAAACCCAGTTCTTAGCCCAGGGTCAGAATAAAATACATCCCAGTTCTCGGAGAGGTTCCTCAATAACATATTTAAATCACTGCTGCAGTGGTACACCTGTTACCTTTATACTATAGATAGAATGATGTTTCTAGTTCATTTTTAAGTACATAACTATTTATGCATAGTCTAAAAAATGAGTAAGCCAAAAAAAATATTATTACCCTTAGAAGGATTCTTATTTCTTGTTCAATAGCAGATTGAGTTTCTGGACTCAGTTTCCCCGTATCATTATAGGTCATAACTCCAAGCTAAAACCGAAGGGAAGAAAATAATTGAACAGAAAAGCCCCAAGCCACAACAAAATTAACAGAGAAAGTATTCTCCTGTATATAAAAAAATATTATAGAAAGCAAACAATAAAATATGAAAATATATTTGATGATGGGCACAACTCAGGTGTATATGACACACCTTCTGGGTATGTCATATACACTTACCTAACAAATGCAAACTCTGTACTAATGAATGCAGACATTATACTCTAAATGTACCCTCATATTAATCTGAAATTTAAAAAGTAATGCATTTGATGGCAAAAAAGAATGTCATCATTCTTCTGAAAGAATAAAGACTAAAAGCAAAATAGGAAGCGTATAAGCAAGAGAAAAAAATGTTACCTTTTCACTCATTCCAAATTTGGTGACCATTCGCTTTGCTATTTTAGTTGCATTGTCAAAATCACTGGAAGCACCTAAAATACAATACGTAAACATATTAAGTTTTAGAAATACCTTTAACCCTATACACAGAATTTCAACAAAAGCCATCCTTTCAAGTCAACCTGTTGTAATATGGTCAGTTCCAAATATAAGCTCCTCTGCCACTCTTCCTCCCATACTAACGTCCATTTGTGCAAGCAGCTGGGCTCTAGTTTCATTCCATCTGTCATTCTCAGGCAACAAAGACACCTACACAAATACAAATAATCAGATAAGGAGGAAATTTAGATACAGTTCTGAAATCATTACATTCAAAACTGGAATTATCATTTAGCTCTCACTCATTAACTTAATCCTATGAAGCTGAAAGGAGAATGGAGATAGCCATCAGGTGCCCGAAGATGAAACAAGCAATTTGGAAAATAAAAACTTCTATATAAAGTAAAAGAACATTTTATAAACAACAATAAATAGGATTTTTTTCCCCCACTTGCATGGAAATGTTTCAAGTATCTATAATTTATAAGATAATTAAACTTGTACCACATGCAAAAATCTTTAAAAAACTACTAAAGCATTGACACATAATTTGTCTTTTGGGGAACAGAACAATTAGAGACTTATATAGTTTGCTGTCATTTCTAAATCAAAGTTCATCATGTAAATATGAAATATAAAAATTTAAAAACTACTCTTTAGTAACAAAAATTTCACAATGTCTCTGATTTTAAGAAGCTTCAAGACTAAAAGAAAGTATCAAGAACCACAGAAAACAGATGAATTTTCCTCGTAAAATGTTTAAGTCAGTAATTTTCTACTTAAGTTTCTAGAAAGCTCTATTTCAAAACAAAGAAAAACCTACAAAAAACTTACATGTCCAAGTGTTGGGCCTCGAGGCATGATTGTAGCTTTGTTGATAGGCATGGCATCTTTTGTATAATATGCAATGATAGCATGACCAGATTCATGATATGCTGTGATGGTTTTGTTTTTGTTATCAATTTCCACACTTCTTCTTTCAGGCCCTAACATAAAATTTTAATTAAGTATAAAACATACCACTAGAGAACTATGTATTTAAATCAATGCCACCCATTTTCATTTGCAAATCAAAGACAGTTTGCCCTACCTACAGCACCTGTTCTATATCTCTAGATTCAGCCATATGGGGAACGAAGAAACTCCAGGGGAAAAAATTCATAAAAATAATACAAATAGGCTCGGCGCCTATAGCTCAACCGGCTAAGGCGCCAGCCACGTACACCTAAAGGTGGCGGGTTCGAATCCCTAGCCCGGACCCACCAAACAACAATGACGGCTGCAACCAAAAAATAGCTGGGCGTTGTGGCGGGCGCCTGTGGTCCCAGCTACTTGGGAGGCAGAGGCAAGAGACTCGCTTGAGCCCAGGAGTTGGAGGTTGCTGTGAGCTGTAATGCCACGGCACTCTACCCAGGGGGACAGCTTGAGGCTCTGTCTCAAAAAAAAAAAAAAAATAATACAAATAAAAACCAATCTAGTATAACAATTTACAGAGTACTGATAATGTATTACATGTTATTTGTAACCTATGAATAATTTAACAGTATTCGGGAGAATATGCATGGGTTATATACAAATAGTATGCCATTTTTTTCTGAGACTTAAGCATCCAAATATTACTAATCAATAATTTAAAGAATACAAAGGTTTTTCTTTGAGATGGAGTCTATGTCACCATCGGTAGAGTGCCATGGCGTCAGAGCTCACAGCAACCTCTAACTCTTGGGCTTAAGCAATTCTCTTGCCTCAGCCTCCCAAGTAGCTGCGATGATAGGCACCCGCCACAAAGCCCGGTTATTTTTTGGTTGTAGATGTCACTGTTGTTTAGCTGGCGCGGGCTGGATTCTAACCTGCCAGCCTCAGTGTATGTGGCTGGCGCCGTAACCACTGTGCTACAGGTGCCATGCCAAAGACTACAAAGACTTTTTTAAAATGGTACAATTCACTCTAAAACATATACAAACTGTAACAGGGTAAAATTCACTCTAAAACATATACAGACTGTAACAGTTTGTTATCTGCAAACTAAAATGGTCAAAACCATCTTAATCTTTACAGCAATTCTATATTCAGGAAATAAACTTCCAACTTAACAGAAATATCATAAGTAACCTCTACATAAGTCAATATAAGATTTAAAATCAAAATTAAATGCAGAATAAGTAAAACTAACCATCCCTTTTTCAACAATGGTGTACAACAGGAAATACAAGGGTAATTATATAAGATACTGAAATATATTTGTTCTCTAAAAGGTAAAATAGTGTCATTTTTTTCTTTTTCCTTTATTTCTTTTTGAGACAGAGTCTCCCTCTGTCACCTGGACTAGAGTGCCACGGCCTTAGCCTAGTGTACAACAAACGTAAACTCCTGGGCTCACGCAGTCCTCCTGTCTCAGTTTCTCAAGTAAGTGGGACTATAGAAACTCACCATAAGGCCAGGCTAATTTTCTGTTCTCAGTAGAGATGAGGTCTCTTTCTTGTTTTGGCTGGTCTTGAAGTCCTGACCTTAAGCAATTCTCCCTAGTCAGCCCCCCAGAATGCTAGGATTACAGACATGAGCCACCACACCTGGCCAATAATATTATTTTCAAGTATGTATTTTCATGTTCTGAGAGCTATTCAATTTTTTACCCTTTTAAGTCAGAAAAACAGGTATCCTAAGAAATAGACAAAATTAATGAATGTGCCACACTATAAAATCAGTTTTATATCACTGACAAAATGGGTCTTGTTAAGAAAATGTTACTGTTTATTGGCATTTGTTTGACCCTCAAATTGGGAATTTGTGAACTTATTTACTGCAAACCTTGAATCCTCAGACATTGAAGTTTTAAAGCAAAATTAAATTAAACATGATCATAGCTTTAGCTGACAAAATAGAATATTTCCTAAGAAAACAAAATAAGCAACAGAAAGAAACATAAAACCTACCCATTAAAATTTTGTCTTTCGAAAACTCTAGTTCCTTCATGGTAACCATTTCTTTTCCATCAACAGCTGCCTTTAATGCAGCTTGGTTTACAAGATTCTCCAACTCTGCTCCAGAAAAACCAACAGTACCTCGGGCTATGATTTCTGGATCAACAGCTAATGTAAAAAGAGAACACAATAGTGAGAGTTCAAAACTGCTAAAAGAACACTTGTCAGAACGAACACATGAAGTCCAAAGGAAGAACAAAAATAGCTATTCTCAGAGATCATTTCTCAGAAAACAGGAATGAACTTGGTAAAAATTCCTAGGAAAAAGGGCTCAAGTGTATCATTAAAATTGGCACTGGGGGCGGCACCTGTGGCTCAGTAAGTAGGGCGCTAGCCGCATATACCAAGGGTGGCAGGTTCAAACCTGGCCCCGGCCAAACTGCAACAGCAACAACAAAAAAAATAGCTGGGCGTTGTGGCGGGAACCTGCAGCCCGTTACTCAGGAGGCTGAGGCAGGAGAATCGCCTAAGCCCAGGAACTAGAGGTTGCTGTAAGCTGGGTGACGCCACAGCACTCTACTGAGAGTGATAAAGTCAAACTCTGTCTCCAAAAAAAAAAAAAAAAAATGGCATTGGGACAAATCACAAAAGCTCTTAAACTGAAATAACTTTATGAAAAACAATGAAATGTAGACTTGCCTCCTATATTTAGAAACTTCAAATATGACCTATATTGTTACTAACCTAACCACACAAAAACCGAAAAAGTATATTCATCCACACTTTTTTTTTTTTTTGAGACAGTGTCATTTTGTCACCCTCAGTAGAGTGCTATGGCATCACAGATCACGCAACCTTCAACTCTTGGGCTTACGTGATTCTCTTGCCTCAGCCTTCTGAGTAGCTGGGACTACAGGTGCCCACCACAACGCCCAACTTTTGTTGTTGTTTTAGCTGGCTGGGGCCTGGTTTGAACCCGCCACCTTCGGTATATGGGGCCGGTGCCCTACACATTGAGCCACAGGTGCCACTCTCACCCATGCATTTTGTTTTACATGTGACTGTCAACCCTTTGGGCCACAAAAACTATTATCTATCATGAGCTATTGTTAATAGAGCTTTGTCTATTATTATGTAATTTACATTTATCTAAATAAAAAACTTTGCACATATATTAATCTTTAGATAGTCTTAATGTTCTAAAAAAAACCTTCTTTAGATCAGGACTCAAAGCACATACAATCTCTCAGATGCAAACTAATTTAAGGAATAGGCTTTTTTATTTTTACTATATTCTGCACATATGGGGTCTCTCTCATCATCCCATGATGCTGGGACCCTGCTGCTGCCAACTCTTATGCTCAAGTGATGCCCTGCCTCAGCCTACCAAATACCTGGGATAATAGGTATATGCTACTATGTGTGACTCAGGAATGAACATTTAAAAGGACAGGGAGAAAAATGATATAAAAATGTATGGATTTTTTAATACATTTATCATGTAAGGATCACAAACAGGGCAGATAGATTTATTACCATTTTATATAGATAATAATATTTATATTATAGAATTCAACTTACACTGATCAAACTTTATTTTATTGAGATACCATTTCAAAATTTCTGTTCGACCTCTCACATCTGGCCTTGGAACTGTAACTTGCATGTCAAAACGACCAGGACGAATTAAGGCACTAAAAGAAGAATGTAAAAGGAAAGCATAAATAAGTTGATTAGCTAAAGTTGCAATTCAACACAAATGACTTTCTAAAGACATGCTGGGAAGACAATAGCAGTCAATGAATAGTCAGGGTTTTCAACATACTTGTTCAGATTCTGAACATTCTGTGTAAATGGAATCATACAATGTCATCTTTTCTAATGGTGTTCCTTTAGCATGATGTTATAGCATACAATAGTACTTCACAAAAGTTTTCTTTTACTACTTACTTATCTAATGCCTCTGGGAAGTTTGTGGCTCCTATGATGATAACTCCTTCGTTGGGTTTAAAACTATTTAGGGGGAAAAAAAAGAGTACCTTTTCACTAAAAATTGAAGCATAGCACACATACAACAATGCTTAACACAATATTGCTTAGCATTATGCAAAAAGGCATTGATAAAAACAACAAATCACAATATTTGATCTACTTAGGAAAATATGCTCTGCCTTAAAAAGCTTGGGTACATGAACAATTTTTTTTTTTTTTTTTTTTTTGAGAGAGTCTTACTCTGTCACCCTGGGTAGAGTGCCGTAGCGTCACCGCTCACAACAACCTCAAACTCCTGGGCCTAAGCGATTCTCTTGCCTCAGCCTCCTAAGTAGCTGGGACTACAGGCATCTGCCACAACACCTGGCTATTTTTTTGTTGTTGTTGCAGTTGTCATTGTTATTTAGCAGGCCCAGATCAGGGTCGAACCTGCCTGCCTCATTGTATGTGGCCAGTGCCCTAACCAATGAACTACGGGGCCTGAGCCACCTTGGGTACATGAACAATTTTTGAAAAATAACTTTCAAATACATCAATTTAATTTATTCTCAGACTTCCTATGTGGTTCTGAAATGTTTTACATGGACTTGAAGACACCTTGTTCAAAGCAATGCCATTTCTTGCTTTTTATATTATGAATATTGATGTGTTTTAAATCTACCACAACATTCAATACTACTAAGAAATGGGTAACCAGCATACATGTCCTTTACTTCTTCAAACAAAATATTAGGCTCAATTTGCATCACTGATTTTCTTTTATCATAAGTATAACAAGGAGGAAAAGGTATAAATATCAGAAATCAAATCAATCACAGGAGCTGATATTCAAATACCCAATGAGTTGTGAAAATACTCCACTAAAAGTAAAGCTTTCCTTGACATCCTGCACACGAGACAAACCTGTTGCCTATAAACATAATGTTTTTCTTATCTCTAGAATGTTGTCATAGGCCTTTTGGGGAACAATCTGTGTAAGATCAAGTCTACATAATAACAAATGCTACAAGGCACATAATATCACAATATTCTATGGAGAAAGGAAGACTCAATTACCCATCCATTTCTGCAAGAAGCTGATTTATAGTCTGCCTTGAATATGGATGCATTGGAGATTCAATTCTCTTCCCACCAACAGAATCTAATTCATCAATAAATATAACACAAGGAGCATTTGCTTTTGCTTCCCCTAAGAAAACAAAAACGTAACCAAAAAGTTAAAAGAAATCAATACTTTTCAAACAAAACCAGATAAATATTAACCTGTTTTTCACTGATTTAGGAACAGTATCCTGGGAATGGGAGAGAGGGGAATATACTGAAAAGTAAGATATAAGATAAAAACAATTGGGTATTCATTTTTCCTAGCTAAGTATCATGTACAATCAGGTTTGAGGCTAATGATTCTTTAATTACACACTGAAGAACTGATAAATAATGAACAAAAGTTAAGAGCTATTTTGGCAGCCCCAACCTCATCTTGAACCTTCCACTAGTTCTTCTGTTAAGTTCAACTGTTTAGAAAAGGAAGATAGCTCTCTTTTAGCTCATATATGAAGTTACCTAAAGCCTGGACCCCAAAATGGTTAATGCAGCTATCATTAAAGGGGCAATAGCCAAAAAAGTGTAATATTCACTCATACCCTAAAATTTTAAAAAATTAGCATTTTATGAAAGATACAGCAAAACATACTAAAAAGATTTCTGATACGGCTGGCTCCCACACCCACGAACATTTCATCAAATTCTGATCCAGAAGCATAATAAAAAGGGACATCAGCTTCTCCTGCCACAGCTCGGGCAAGAAGTGTCTTTCCAGTCCCTGGTGGTCCAACTAAAAGAATTCCTAGAAATGAAAGAACACAAGAATGACACAAATGGTTTTCTTAAAACTCCCTTGACATGAACCTATAAAACAAATAATTTATGCAATTATGAAGTTGAAGGATAATAACTCATATTCAGAAACAAAGCGAAACATACTTGTCTCTGCTAATGAGACCCTTCAAATTTTCTCCAAAACTAATTTTCCCGTTATTTAAATATTGCTCACACAACAGTATACAAGACAGGACAGAGTCTTGAAGCAAAAAAATGTAAACCTATTTATCACTAAATAAGTAGATAAAATTCAACAGAAACAGATTAAAAGATTAAAAATGTAATACACAATTTGATGCTTTCTCATTAAAAAACAAAGAAATTCTATGAACATTTGGTGAAAATGCAAAAAAAAAAAAAAGATTGGAGAGTACCTGATATGAAGGAAATCATGTTAATTTTCTTTGGTGGGATAAGATTATGTGTTGGCCAGGCACAGTAGCTCATGCCTGTAATCCTAGCACTCTGGGAGGCTGATCGTTTCAGCTCAGGAGTTCAAGACTAGCCTGAGAAAGAACGAGACCCCGCTCTTCTAAAAATAGAAAAACTCACTGGGTGTTGTGGCCGGCACCTGTGAGTCCCAGCTACTAGGGAGGCTGAGGCAAGAGGACTGCTCAAGACCAAGAGTTTGAGGTTTCTGTGAGCTACAATGACACGTACTCTACTCAGGGCACAGAGTGATTCTGTCTCAAAAAAAAAAAAAAAGATTAATGTGTATACTTAAGATAATGCCATTATTCTGATATAATTTATCAAAAGTATTTAGATGTAAAATAGTGGACATTTACAGTTTTCTTTCCAATGTTTAAGGGAGAAAAACACACATGCACAGAAAGCAAATAGGACAAAATGTTAACAAGTGTTGTACCTTAGTGGCAAGTATATGGATGTAAATTTGTACTATTCTTCAAAGTTTTACATGTTTCAAATTTTTCATAGAACTATAAAGTTTTTTTTGTTTTCCTATTTTTTTTTTTTTTTGAGACAGAGTCTATGTCGCCCTCAGTAGAATGCATGGCATCACAACTCACAGCAACCTCAAGCTCTCAGGCTTAGGCAATTCTCTTGCCTCAGCCTCCTTAGTAGCTGGGACCACATGCGCCTGCCACAATGCCTGGCTATTTTTTCATTGCAGTTTGGGCAGAGCCAGGTTCAAACCCTCCACCCTCTGTATATAGGGTTGGCACCTTACTCACTGAGCCACAGGTGCCAACCCCTAAAAAAAAAAATTTTTTTTTGGAGACAGAGCCTCAAGCTGTCCCCCTGGGTAGAGTACTGTAGCATCACAGCTCACAGCAAACTCCAACTCCTGGGCTCAAGCAAGTCTCCTGCCTCAGCCTCCCAAGTAGCTGGGACCACAGGTGCCCGCCACAACGCCTGGCTATCTTTTGGTTGCAGCCGTCATTGTTGTCTGGCAGGCCCCAGCTGGATTTGAACCCGCCACCTTAGGTGTATGTGGCCAGTGCCTTAGCCACTTGAGCTACAGGTGCCAAGCCCCTAAAAAAATTTTTTTAAGGAAAGCTCAAATAATAACCTTAAGACCACCCTAGTATTACCATGTGGTAATAATGATAGCTAACTGGTTTAAATTACATTAATTTTTGTAGACTTCATCTAGATACTTGAGGATTTTTTTATACATTTATAACATAATCATTGTCATTAGATAGAGGAAGAATGTGACTATTTCTATGGTTTTAAACAGTCTTATGATATAATAGTACTGCTTTTATAAATGTGCCTTCAATTAGCTAAGACCATACAAACCATCTCATATAGTGCTGAACTCTCTGTAGAGATATTTGGCAGTATAAAAACAAGCCTTAAAAAAAAGAGTGACATCCTTTACTTGAGCAATTCTATTTCTAGAAATTTATTCTAAGTAAATAATTAAGCATATGAACAAAGACTTGAGTTAAAATGATCTTCACCATACTTTTTTTGGCCAGGGCTGGGTTTGAACCCGCCACCTCCGGCATATGGGGCCCGTGCCCTATTCCTCTGAGCCACAGGCACCGCCCTTCACCATACTATTTTTAAAAACAAAAAACTGTAAACCATATAAAAGTAAAAATAAAGGGTTAGGCAAATTATAATACAACCCCAAGTTAGAAGGATACCATGAGGTCATTAAAAACCACATTTAGTAACTGTGAAAAAAACAATAGACAAAAATTACCGAGGAAAACATTGTAATATAAATGGCCTATACTCTTCACAAATATAAAGTTCAAAAAGACTCTCCTCTCCCACCCTCCACAAAAAGGCTGTGGAGCTGTTTCATATCTAAGAAAAAAACTACATGTGATGTGTGATCCTACAGGCAGTGGCAGTGAGGGAGACACTACAAAGCATACTGGCTTGGAGCAAATGCTAAAATTTGAATATGGCTGGACATTTAATAATGATTTTGTATGTATGCTGAATGTCCTGATTTTAACAATTATTCAGGAGTTATGTAAAAGAGTATCATTATTCTTAGGAAATATATACTTGAGTGTGATTATATATACTCTCAAATGTTTAAAAATATAAGTATGTAAAGAGACAAAGTGAGTAACAAAAAAAACATTGCACAAAATATTAAAATTGGTAAGACTGGTGGATTGCCTGAGCTCACAGGTTTGAGACCAGCCTGAGCAAGAGCAAGAGAGTAAGACCTTGTCTCTAAAAATAAATGGGCATCGAGGCGGGCACCTACAGTTCCAGCTACCTGGGAGGCTAAGGCAAGAGAATTGCTTAAGCCCAAGAGTTTGAGGTTGCTGTGAGCTGTGACACCACAATACTCTACCATGGGAGACAGAGTAAGACTGTCTCAAAAGAAAAAAAATTGGTGAGCCTAGGTTAAGGATATGAACAACAATCCCCAGCCCGGACCCGCCAAAACAACAATGACAGCTGCAACCAAAAAATAGCCGGGCGTTGTGGCGGGTGCCTGTGGTCCCAGCTACTTGGGAGGCGGAGGCAGGAGACT